AGGGAGGAAGGGAGGAAGGAAGGAAGGGAGGAAGGGAGGGAGGAACGAAGGAAGGAAGGGAGGGAGGAACGAAGGAAGGAAGGAAGGAAGGGAGAAAGGAAGGAAGGAAGGAAGGAAGGAAGGAAGGGAGGAAGGAAGGAAGGGAGGAAGGAAGGGACAATGGACCCCAGGACCTGCCTTATTATCACTGTCATTGTTGGCTAAGGGTCTGGATAACCAATACCATAATAATAATCACGATCATAGTAGTTGCCAGGGCTACCAATAACCCTACAGACTGGGGATGATGACACAGACTGTAACCCCAGGCTAAGACAGGAGGATCGCTGTGAGCGTGAGGCTAGCCCAGGCTATATAGCCAGCTCAAGGCCAGCCTGAACTATATAGCGAGACCAAACAAAAACAGCTCTACAGGTCACTACCACCAGTTGACAAACTAGTAACCTGAGGGAGCTGAGAATGTATCTTAGTGGCAGAGTGCTCCCCTAATGTGTGAGAGGCTCTGGGTTCAATCCCCAGCATGTGGGGGCGGGGGGGCAAGAAATTAATAAAACAAAGGCCCATGGAGGTTTCTGCCTGTTTATCAACAGTATAATCATGGGTTTGAGTTTCCATCTCTTTTCCCAAAAATGAACAGATTTGTATTGGATTAATCTTGAAGAGCACTGTGTCCAGGGAAACATAACGTTCTTTGTTTTATGATCATGTTCATGATTTGTTCAGCCTTTCCATTTGTATAAAGCAGATAAACAGATCCTTGGTTGAAGCAGGCTGGGAGACCAGAACAGGTCACCCTCACTAAGAATTTCTAGGACACTTCCACCAAATCCCACTTATAGAACAATGGCTCTAAATGGATAACTATAACTTCTTTCTAATTTCTAAAGAATTTAGTAGCAATTTCCACCACAATCTGAATGGATGGACTTTTAAAAAATATATCACCACTGCATTGCTCCCCAAATATGATAATTATACATTTTTATAGTTTTACACAAGGCAGGAGTATGATTTTAATTACATTATAAAACCAAACAACGCTGTTGATAATGTTTGTATTTAATTATTTAACTAGTATTCATTGACTCTGCCAGTCTGAAAATAATTTTTAAAATTCAATTATCTATCTACCTCTCTTTAATAGAAACTTTCTACTGTATATATAAACCTGACCTATTTATTTATTTATTTATGGTTTTTGAGACAGGGTTCAGGTTGGCTTTGACCTTACTACGTAGCCACTGGCCTCTAACTTGCAGCAATCCTCCTGCCTCAGCCTTTGTAAATGCTGGGATTACAAGTGTGTGCTACTAGGCTAGCCTGACCCTTAAAATGTTACATTCTGAGGGATGCAATGATTGATTGAGATTTGTAAACAAAATATTACTTTTAAACCTTTTTAAAGACAAACAGCTATCAAAATGATAATTGAACATTAAGTGGAAATTTATGGAGGTTCACATGTGAGTACATGATTCTGTCAAAGTGAATCCAAAGTTAAATACAGGTGTTAATTATACTGATTATAGCTTTTAAATAAAATATGAAAGTATCAGCTTTAATTACAATTTTACAAGCTCAATGTGAAGTGAATATCAATAATAAAACATTACAAGCTGCTAAAATGGCTAATAATTATTTGTTATTCAAATGAAACTTTATATAAAATAATAAGCACATTTTGCAGGTAGATTGTCAGTGAATATAAAATTATGCAAACTTATAATGAAGGAAATAGCTTCTTAACTGAAAGTATTACAAATAATATTCTCTGAAGGCAAGCGGCAAGACTACAACAAAACTTCATTTCCATTAACAGTTCTTACATACTCAATGGTCCTGCAGCAAAAAGCCAATAGAAGCAATATTAGAGAGAAATCAACACAATTCAGAAATCTTTATAAACCTCACCCTAAAATTTGGGATATTAGAGGAATTGTCTATGATTTGTACTGTTCTCAGATGAAAACTAAAATTATAAGTCTACAATAATTTGACAGCAATCTGTATAATGTTCTATATAATTTTCCTAAAAAGTAAATTTACCAAATTATATATACATATTCTGAATTTAACATCAAAGAAACATGAGACAAGCTCAAACAGAAGGAAGTCCTACAAAAGACCTAGCCAGTGAGCTTTAAACAGATTGGGGTCATGAAAGATTAAAAAAAAAAAGTTAAGGATTTTGTCTGGGTTAAAGATTACAGAGACATAACAACTAATGCAACAGACCATCCTGGATTTGATTCTGAACCAGAAAGAGGACATAAGTGGGACAAACAGAAATTTCAGTAAAGTCTAAGGATTAGATCAGTATCAACAAACATTTTATCAACAAATATACCGTGAGTGCCGAACGGTAGGCATTTAGGGTCTGTGGGGCACACACATTCTCTGCAGCACATTCCCCTTTGTTTTTAACAATACTTTAAAAATGTGAAATCTGTTTAAAACTCACAGGCTTTACAGCAAAGATGCTGTAGGCCTGATTTTGATAACCATATAATTGGGCTACAATATTAACTTTTAGGGAATCTCAGTGAAGAGTGTACAAGAAATTGTACTGTTCTGTAACTTTTTCTAAGTATGAAAATATCTCAAAATGAGAAGTTAAATTTTAAAAAATGCAAACCATCGTCAGGAGTCCTGTGTTGGATAAGCTAATGCCTAACAGTTACAACAACAAAATCGAACACGGCCTCTTTTCTCTCCCTTGAAAGCCCGGATGGCGTCGTGCACCCTCTCCCTGCGGACAGACTGCTCCTCCCTTTCCATCCCGGAGTCCTTCACAAAGTCAGTTCCCACCCACACTTCAGCTCTCAACTCCAGCATCACTTCCTCAAGCAGTCCTTCCCCACTGTCACCTGTGCCACCCCAACGTCACACCTGAGCATCTGTACCGTCCTTCTTAACAGAAATGGTGGCTGTTATTAAACACTTACTGCAATTAATCACCTGATGTCTGTCTCACCTACAAGTAAGTTCGTTCTAGGAGAGCAGAAATGATGGCCATCTTCCTTAAGGCTGGATTCCCAACACTGAGCTCAGGGCTTTGCACACAGGAAGAGCTCCATGTGGTACGCGATGGATGGGTGGACAGATGGGCTGAGCAGCCCTCCTCACTGCAGCTCTACTAAAAGGAGCGAGGACAGCCAGGCAGACATTAGAGACGGACTAAGAAGACTCCTGAATATAACAAATAACTTATAATTACACTGTCCAGAGATGTAATGAGCTTTCTGAGCCTCTGCAGTGACTCATAGTGATTTTGGAAAAAAAGCTGAAGAAAAGATTCAAAATAATAGGTTAGACTCAGGGGTTCTGAAGTTTCTCTAAGTTTATATTCTGGTTAATACTATTCACAAGCAGTTAAGGATACTCTTAATGAATTAACAGAATCATGACTACAAATCTATGAAGATTTTGTAAAAGTAGCTGCTATTAACTACAGGTAGGGCAACATAACTAACAAGATAAGCACTGACTTTTAACAAAATTAGGAAGAGACATGCAAACTCATTAATAATTTATCAGGGCAAGGGGTACTGTGGAGGATCACCCAGGCAACTCTCCTTGAAAGAAGGGCAATTCGCTCCATTCTGGCTGAGCCTGGCCCTACTTCCACGTACTGATATGTGCAGAGCTGGCTGGGATTTTTCCTTATCCCTTCCATGGGCTTTAAGCAATGCATATCGGTCTAGCCAAGGTGCTGATGGTCATCTTTGGAGACGGCAGGCATGTTTCCCCGACCCCTCACTGCTCCTTCCAGTGAGCGGGGGATGAGGCGGGATGTGTGAGCCAATGCTCCACGCTGTCAGCTGGGATTGAGTTTGGGAATAGAGGCTGACTTCCTGGGGCTTGAAAGATGACACATCAGAGCTGAAGTGCCAACCCCAAAACATTAGATACTATCTCAACTGTATTATGCAGGTTACTTTTTCTGCATATCCTCCTCTCTGCGCATGGCAGGGGTGATTTCAGGCCTCCTACCTCGCCCAGCTCATGGCCCTCACATATTTCCCGCCACTCTCACAGCCACTCACCCTCAAGCCACTCCCTTCTTTATGAATGAATAAAACCTGGGTTTGGCCTTGGTTCTGTATGGCCATCATCATGGCTGGACTTAGGACCCCTTGGCTCCCCATAACTACAGATTTGCTTTAAGGTCTTTATTCTCGCCATGGGCTGCACTGGAAGTGGTAGATTGGAATTAACGCGCTACAATTCCAGTAACTTTTGGGATTACAAATATAAACCTCCTGGGCCATGAGGAGACTGGGAAGGGCTCACTACAGGTACAGGGTAAGTACAGTGAAAATATAGATTGGTAAGTTTATATACAATAAACAGCAATTGTTTAAACAAATATGCTAACAATATTAATAACCTATTTGATTTGATCTCCTTCTGTCTAATTAAGAAATTAATTTTAGACTTGTCCTATTACCAAAATACTTAAAAACAAAACTATAACATGCTTGTCCATACCATTCTGAGTGAAGAGCAGATTGTAAAGCACTAAGTGCTATTACATCCAAAAAGTAAAGCTTATGTTATAAGAAACAGATTAAAGCGTAAGTAATATTTGCACTATGATTATACAACAAAAAACTTTAACCCTATTGATATTTGGGCTTTAGCGATATCCTCAAAATGAGTAAGCAGCCAGACTCTCTGCAGTGTGCCTCTTTTTACTGTTTGTTTTTTAAGACAGGATCTCACTATATAGTTCAAGCTGGCCTTGAATTCACTATGGAGCCCAGAGTGGCCTCAAACTCACAGCAATCCTCCTGCTTCAGCCTCCTGTGTGCTGTACTGTGCCTCAGGAAATATCCTTTGAAGTAAACTGGCATTACTTTTTGAAAAATAAACTTGTATTCTTCCTGGTTTTTTTTTTTTACAAGCCAGGAAGGCGTTATTAATTATATCATGAAACAGTCCTGTTAAAATATTTTACTAGGGCTGTCTCCAAATATCTGTTCCACTGTACATTCACATTAGAAATGCATGAAGACCCCAATTTTCCACATCCTCACCAACACTTGTTATTTTATTTTTTGGTTACTGCCATCCTAGACTGCTACTCTGAAAAATAAGCCTAGAATGGTTTGAAATCTAAAAATTGTAAATAATTAAACGATTATCTAACGTATCCAAATCGAACTAATTTTTACAAAAGTTACAACTTAACCTGAGAGTTAATCCTAACAAGTCTGATTAGGTAGTCATTTCTCCAGTGTTCTAACTGGGAGTGCACGCCACTCAAGAAAAATAACAAGTGACATCTTGTTATAAAAGTTTTTCTGAGGGCTGATGCCTGGTTCAACAGATCATTAATATACTTACTGCTTCTTAGATTGAACACATATGATATATATATCTATATTCCTTTTTTTTGCTTTTTTTTGGTTTTTTTCTGGTACCAGGAATCGAACTCACGACCTCACACTTGCCAGGCAGGCGCTGTGCCACTGAGCTAAATCCCCAGTCCCTTATATATCTATATTCCATGTTGTTCCAAATAAAGCTCTGAGCAACTATTAAAAAGACAAACAATGCAGTAAGATTTCTAAAATGAACTCGTTTTGACGTGAAACAGTAGGCAACCTGACTGATGTCTTCCTGCTGAAAGGAACTGAAAACTTCTGGTAAAAAATTTAATACTCTCTACAGTGTTAATGAACTGATAAAATATAAGGAATATTTAAAAAACAACCAATAAAAGCTAGAACGGCAAGGAGAAAAGTGAACATGATTCTGAGGCTATCTGGTGGACTTGAACTTTAGCCTTGGTTTCTGTGGTCGTTTGGAAGCTCAGGACACAAAAATCAAAGCTTAAGGCTCACCAAGGAAAATCCAAACGGAAACTCCCCAAAAAGTTGGTATCAGTGTAAGAATACACTAGAAACAAACCTACTCCTAAAGAGGTTTTACATTATCTTGAACTCAGGACACACACGGAAAGAAAAACAGTAACTCATAAGGAAAAGATGTCCTTCAACAAGATTCAGCCAAACCTCGCATTTCCTGAGTAGTCCCAATATGTGAAGTTATTTGTTTAGTTCAAAGCCTACTCGGGCATCCAGCATAGGCACAAGTCAATCCTAGTTGCAGGAATTCCCAAGGAACAAGGTCCCTAGAAACAAGCTCACTGTTAAAAATCACCAAATGTGCAAATCAACAAGTCACATAGTAAAATCCAGTAGAACAGGATCCACAAACCTGCAACCTTTGTAACTATCAGAAACAGAGTATAAAATAATCGTGTCCACCACATTTCAGGAAATAAAAAGAATTGAAAATGTGAGTGAAAACAAGTAGCCACTAAATATAAACAATGACTATGTGAAAAGAAGTCGAATAGCAGCCCTGCAAAATACTACAAAAGGGGCTGGGGCTAGGGTGCATCCTAGCACTCAAGAGGCTGAGGCAAGAAGGTGAAAACTTCCAGATCAGTCTAGGCAACACAGCATGAGACCCCATCTATTAAAAATAAACAAAAACTACAAAAGGAAGCTTTTTAAAAATCTCAACAAATTAATTTAATGGTAGATTCAATGTACCTGAACAAAGTCAGCAAACTGAGAGGCCTAGCTGAGAAACTATGTAGAACTCAGCAAGGAGTGAAAAGAATTCACCACAAATATAGGTTAAAGAGATGTGTGGTAATATACACTTCATGGAAGTTCCAGAAAAAGTGAGACTGGAGAAAAGACAACATTTGAAGAGTTAAGTAGTCAGAATTTTCTACTGATAAAAGACACCAGGTCAGAAACTAAGGCCAAATGAACCCAAAACAAGACAATAAAAAGATTTCTAGCTCTAGACACAATGATATGTAGAACACTAAAAACAAAGAGACTACCTTGAAGGCAGCTAGAGGAAAGAGACACATAACCTTCAATGAAAAGAATATATCCAAACATGTGGAAATTAAACTATACTTGTACATAAACCATAGGTCAGAAAAGGTCTCATGGAAAATCAAAAGATAGTGACCTGAATTAAAATGAAAACAAAACATAAAAATTCTGGTACACAGCTAAAGCAGTGCTGAAAGGAGTTTTTTAAATCAATAAATGCATGCATTAAAACCAGAAAAAAGTGTCAAATCAGTAATCTCAACTTCCACATTCAGGGTCTTAGCTAGAAAAAACATTACAAACCCACATGAAGCAGAAATCAAAGGGAGCAGATTAAAAAAAAAAAAAAAAAGCTCAGTAGAAACAATAACGAAACAACTGATTATCTGGAAGCTATTAGCAGGTTTTTGAAACACCTGAAAAATTTCTAGCAAGTCTGACAAAGATTAAAGAAAAAAGACACAAATTATCAACATCAGGAATGGAGCACAGGATATCCTCACAGATGCTAAAACCATCAAGAGCATAATAAAGCAATATATGCTATGAACTCCACACACAGAACTTGACCACTCAGAAAGAAATGAACCAACTCCTCAAAAAGATATGCGAAACTACCACAATTCATCCACTGGCAGTAGTAATTTCAATAGCCTTGTAACTTAAGGAAATGGAATTAGCTTAAATTGAATTGAAAATTTTTTGGCTTTTTTTATTTTAAAGGGAGTAGTAAATGAGAAACAAACAAACAAAGAAATAGAACAGTAGCAGCATACCAGTATCACAAACATAAACAAACCAAAGCAAGAACATTTAAAGTGATACAGAGTCTCAAGACAAAATAATACCAACCAACAGTGGTTGTTACATTACATATCGCTATCCTCAACTACATTGCTCAGATTACCCGATGTAAGAATGAAAGATTGCTCAAACCATTATAGGGAATAAGAAAATAATTCTTCAATAAAACAGTAGAGATAATACAGAGTTTCACTAGACAAGATGGTAGGAGTTCACCATTGTAATTCCATCGCATATTGTTACCTTCAAATCAGTTGTTCAGATCACCAGACACAAGCACGCACAATCGATCAGAACATAAAAAATTGTAATCATTCACTGTTCATTTCAATACACCATCAGATATCAGCAATACAGTTATCCCAGCTATTCATATATATATTTATATTTTGCCTTCCTTCTTTCTTTTTTCTTCTTTCCCTCATCCCAGTGGTTCCTTCCTTTGAGCAATTTCTTTCCCTAACCTATCATCTACTGTCCTCACAAAACTAGGATTGGAAGTCCCACTTAACTCAGCTATTCCTCTTCTGGGTATTTTCCCAGAAGAATTAAAGACATCATACCACAGCGAGATATGTGCACCCATGTTTATAGCAGCACAATTTGTTGTAGCTAAATCTTGGAAACAACCCAGATGCCCATCCACTGAGGAATGGATAAAAAAGATGTGGTATTTTTATACAATGAAGTATTACTCAGCTATTAAAAAAGATAATCTCGAGGTTTTTGTAGGTAAATGGATGCAACTAGAGACCATACTCATAAGTGAAATAAATCAGACCCAGATGGGTAAACACCATACTGTCTCCTTAGTGTAGGAACCTGAAAGACTAGGTGAATTGAATTTTTAAAACTCCACTAAGAAAGAAATCTCCAGGCCCATGTGGTTTCACTGGAGAGTTCAACCAAACATTTAAGGAGAAGTTACTATCAACACTACACACTTTCATCCAGAAAACATAAGAGGGAAGGAAAAGTTTACACTTCACTACATGACACTAGCATTACCTGATAACAAAACCAGACAGACACAGTACTAAAAACTATACACCAACCCACTCATAAGTAAGGATATAAAACTCTAAACTATTAGCAAATAGATTTCGGCAATATATAAAAGATAATTATTCACCATAACTAAGTAGGGCCTATTGCACAGAACAAGTACAACTAATTCTGTGTCAATATTTGAAAATACATCAATATAATCTGCCAAATTAACAGGGCAGTGAGGGAAAATTACATAATGACATCACTTAATGCAGAAAAAACATTCAACAAAATTTAGTACAGTACCTTCCCATGACAGGAAAAAAAAAACTTCAGAAAATAGAAATAGAGGGCAAGTTCCTAAACTTGATAAAGAACCTCTATTAAAAATCTACTGCCCGATTACACTTAAAGTGGAAAACTGAGTGCTTCCTAGTGGGGGGTACAAGGCACAAACCCATTTTCTGACCACTTACTCAACATAATGCTTGAACAGCTACTCAATGCAGTAAACCAAGAAAATGGGGGAGGGAAACAGATTCGGAAATTTAAAAAAAACAAACAGAAAAAAAAAAAAACCATCCCGGTTTGCAAATGAAAGAGTGTCCATGGTAGAAAATGAGATCTAGAGTCCTTTAAAATAAGCAAGTAAAACTAGAACAAATAGGATTCAGTAAAGTCACAGGACAGGATCACATGCAAAAATCAATCGTATTTTTAAATACTGGCAATAAACCCAGGACTCCAAAATTAAAAACACACCACCACTTGCAATCACTCAAAAAAACTTAAATGCTTATATGGAACTCTAACAAAACATAAACCAGGCTCATGTACTTAAAAACTACACACTATGCATGAAAGAAATCAAAGATATAAATAGAGAAGTGTCACATTCATGGAATAGATTCAATATAATAAAGATTTCAATCCTCCCACAATTATTATATAGGTGTACAAAAATTCCTATCAAAACCCCAGCAAGAGTTTTTGTAGATTTAATTTGAGGTTGTTCTACAATTCATATGGAAATGCAATGAACTAAAATAGCTAAAACAATTCTGAAAAGAAAAATGGAAAGAACCAGTCTACCCAATTGAAAGGGTTCTTTCCCTGTGTAGCACTAGTAATAGAGACTGTGTGACACTGCAGCAGAAGAGACACACAGATCAATAGGGCTGAATACAAAGCCCAGAAACAGATCTACATGATATGATTTTTGATACCAGTGTCAAAGCAATTCAAGGGAAGAAAGACAGCCTTTTCAACACACAGGGTTAAGCATCTGGACATCAATAGGCGAAAAAATGAATTTGAACTATGTTGCATACTTTGTACAAAAATTAACTCAAAATGGATCACAGGTACATATAAAATAAAACTTTTAGGAAAAAATAAGAGAAAATCTATGGGATCTCATGCTTGGCAAGAGTTCTCAAAGGTACCAAAAGCATGATCCATCACAGGAAAAATTGATAACTGGCCTTGATAAAAACTCAAAATATCTGATCTCAAAAGACACTGTTAATTCAAATCATATATATTAATTGTGTACAGTTTTTAATATATCAGTAAAGATAGAGAAGACCCTGTTAAAAAGAAGCAAAGACAAAATCTAAATAGAGAAGATATTTGTCAAACATACAGTGAAAAAATTATTTGCAAACCACTACACACTGGAACCCTACCTAGAAAATGCAAAGAATTCTCAAACTTAGCAGTTAAAGAAAACCCAAGTAGAAGTGCATAAAAGACATAAATAGAAGCCAGGCATGGTGGTGCACGCCTGTAATCCTAGCACTCAGGAGGATGAGGCAGGAGGATCGTTGTGAGTTCAAGATCATCCTGGGCTACATAGTGAGCTCAAGGCCAGCCTGAACTGTATAGCGAGACCCTGTCGCAAAAAGACCAAAAAAAACAAAAGACATAAATAGATATTTCACCCAAGAGGATATATAAATGGCAAGTAGGTACATGAACTGTAGCTATTAGATAAATGCTAATTAAAACCAAAACGAATAATCAGTACACACCTGTTGTGGACTGAATGTATGCACCTCTCTATCACTGTACAAAAAAGTCACGTACGTTAACAGCTAATCATCAACTGGGGCTTCTGGAAGAAGGTGGAGTCCTCCTGATTGGGATTAGTACCTTTATAAAACAGACCTCAGAGAGCGATCTAGCTTTTTCTTTTCCCCTTTCGCTAGTGAAGACACACCAAGAAGTCAGTAATTTCTAACCCAGAAAACAATCTTCACCAGAACCCAACCATGCTAGTGGCCTGATCTTGGTCCACCAGCCTTCATAACCATAAGAAAGAAGCTTACAGTGTTTATAAGCAAGCATAAAACACAGTACTTTGTTATAGCAGCCCAAATGCTATAAGAACACTACGAGAATGGCTAAAAACAGTGGTAACGTCACACAATGCAACCACTGCAACATAGGGAAGGAAAGATTACTGGGAGATGAGACTTAGTTCAATCACCAAGAGGCCCAGAGGGGTTACCTCCACCAAGAGCACCCGGCATTATGGAGACTCCCAGGAACAGCACTGAAGCCAAGAGCTGTCTTCTATTTAGAATATCAGTGTAAGAGAAATAGAAGAAGAAAAGCAGTCTGGGAAAGAACCTCTCTCAAGGCAAGGCAGTTTTCTTGGGGAAAGGACAAGGACAGAGGCCAGATACAACATGCCCCACTAATCTGAACTTCTTGTTGTTTAACCGTTCACTCCTCACACAGCCTGCGTGCTTTTGCCCCACTGTTTAGCCCTTTGCTCCTCGGCCAAGTCCCCCACATGGTAACACCAAATGCTGATGTGGTGAGAGAACTGAGTCACTCACACTGCCGCTAAGGATGTAAAGTGTATAGTTCCTCTGAAAGTGGTGGGTTTCTTTAAAAAATTAAACATGTAACTACCATAAAACCCAGCAGCTGTACCCATGAACATTTACCCTGAAGAAATTATACATTCATACAGAAAAATGTACACAAATATTTATGGCAGATTTATTTGTAATAATGCAAAACTGGAAACAATTTAGATGCCCTTCATTGGGTGGGTGGTATGTGTATATCTGGGATACTATTCACCAATAAAAAGAAATTATTAAGACACTCATAAACCTGGCTGGCCACTAGAGAGAATGAATGGAGAAAGCCAATCACAAAAGGTCACATATGGTATAATTTCATTTATTTACATTCTGGAAGGGAAATCATAAAAATAAAGAACAGTTCAGTGATTGCCAGAGATCAATGTGGACTGGAGTCCAGAGGGAAAGTGTGTGTGGGTGTAAAAGGCCAATGTCAGATATCCCTGTGCTGATGGATGTGTTCTTTTTCTGACTGCAACAATGTCCTTCACCTTGCTTGTGACAGAGTGCAACAGCCCTACAAGGGGCTGTCACTGGATAAAGAGTCCATAGGACCTCTCTGTGTTACTCCTCATGATTATATGTGAACCTGTAATTACTTCAAAATAAAAATTTAATTAAAAGATGAAATATCAAGTCCAAACATTGACCAGAATCAGAAATAAATGAAGACAGGTGATAAAATAATAATAAAAAAACTTACAATAATTCAAGAAATAGTTGAGCACGATGCTGACCATACATTAAATAAATAGATCTGCAGACAAAAGTATGCAGAGAATCTTGACCTTTACTCCCCCATTTGCTGTTGGTAGTAGAACAGATGTAATAATGTCTAAATTATCTAGTGTGCAGGTGAGCACCGAAGAAATGTGTAAGCATCATGATAGTTTCCAACAGGGAACCAGAATGTTTATTATCAGAAAAGGAAGATACAATCTTGCAATGAGGACAGATGAAAGATACATACAAATTTCCTAGATCTGTCCATTGAAAGCAGATAAATGCAACAGCATCCAGTAGAAACTTATACACCCAAAGCTCAGATAATGGTTCTCATCCCATTCCAAAAAAACAAATAAACAGAAAAACCTGGGCTTCATGGAAAAAGAGCTGATTTCTGATCTGGGTAGAAAAATTACCAGGTAAGCTTGGGGCGTATCACTGTTGTAGAAAACTGAGAATTTCTCTAAAAACAAAATGACTTGTAAAAGGACACAAGGGCCAGCTTGAAAGGACAATTAGAGCACTAAAAGAAATATATTTGATAATAACATAGTGAATAAAAATCATCAATTTGCCTATAATAGCAATTAAAAACAAAAGGATGCAGGTAGAGAAGATAAAGAAATTCCTCTTTATAATGTGCTATCAAACACTAAGAGGAATTAAAGAATTAGAAGATCACTATTTTGCAACCACCACTGTAACATGTGATGAATACAAAGACCTTCTGCCAATACTAAAGGCACATTAAAGTTTATTAGGGAATAGGATATTCACTCAGTGGAAACGTACATATTATCTAACAGGTTACTTATTGAAAGCAAAGGCTATAAAAAAGTAACTTAAGAGCTAGGGGTGCAGTTCACGAGTAGAGCACATGGGAAGCCCTGGTGTGATCTGCAACATCTAATAACAACAACAACACTACTACTTTTTTGTGTGTGTTTTTCTTTTTTTTTTTGCCCCCGCCCCCAGGAATTGAACTCATGACCTTGCGCTTGCCAGGCAGGTGCTGTGCCGCTGAGCTAAATCCCCAGCCCCCAACACTACTACTTTTAGGAAGAAAAAAAGGGAAATATATGGTTGCAATGGAGAGATCCAGCAGTTATTACCTTCACAGTAGCAAAATAGTGGAGCCACCTGACATTGTGTCTTCTCTTATGATGGTCCTGAAAACTTTTGTGCTTTTGTGTTTTTCTATTTGTCTTGTTTCTTGCTTCTATACAACTCCAAGGAAAATCATAACACTGAATCTGGTACCAGTATTATCCCCATACCAAAAATGGGGAAACTGAAAGATACAGAGGTTCCCCAAACCACATAACAACAAAGTGGGGAGAGCCAGGATTCCAACACAAAGTTTGACTCTAAAGTCTGTCAGCAGCAGCAACATTATATAGTATAGGAGTTCCACTGGGTTTTTGGAGAAGAATCCAATGCCATACTTTACTGAATACCTGCACCAAGTACTGTGCATATACTTTGTTAAGTTTCACAAGAACTCTTTGAAGTAGGATTTTTATTCTTATTTTCCAGAACACTGGAGCTGGGAGAGGTTGAGTCCCCTGTCCAGAGTCCCACTGCCCACAGGTAGAAAAACCACAATGGAGCACAGGTGTGTCTGACTCCACAGCCCTCACTTTTCCTAGGATAACTACCTTCCACATCCTATGTATAAACCATTCCTTTATTTTCTAAGAAAGTTAATTCATTAGACAACTTTTAGTTGCCAAACGTATTGTTTGGAGTCAACACTTAATTTCTCTAGATATATTTTTCCTATAATCAATGGGATTCTATGTAACATGAGAACAAATTCAGATGAAATGATGAAATTAAAGTTTTGTAATGTTGGAAATTACTACAGAAAGGTCCTTAAAAGCCTTCTGGTTTAAATCTCAGTCAACAGACTTGCAAGCCAGTATGAGTTGTACGCAAATCTAACCCCTCAAGAAGGCTTGCACAAGTTAGGAATATACTTGCGGATATGACATGACTAAAACTTCATGTTGTATAAGCATATTTTTTGCCTACTTTAAAAAAAAATTATATTATTCAAATATATTATCAAATGTTTTTAAAAGCACAGTTTTACAGCGTTAACAACCGCTCCAAAAACATTCATGTTGCATATACTTGCCCTTTTCTTAATATCAGACGCCATTTCCATTTTTCTTATTTAGTACTTCTGCTTGTCCCAAAGTGAATTTAAAACAGCTGAACTCATCCTCACAGTAACTTCAGTGGGATCAAGGAGAGCACGGCCCTGCTTGCTGGTCGTTCTGCAACCTCGTGATGTGCAACGGCCCTGAGTACTACACGCGCCCTTAGGCAAGGTACCTGATGAGGGAGATGCGGATCCACCTCACAAGGCTGCTGTGAGGTTTCAATGAACTAACACATGCAAAAGGACTACAGCCTCCTGCACGCAAGTATGCGGTGCTATCTGTACTGCTGAGGTTGGTGCAGCCACAAAGGAAGCGCAAACTGGATGGAAAGACAGACACCTATCAGCTTTCCCTACTCTGAAGAAACTCACTCGGAACCTGATTCTACATCTCGCCTCTGAAAACCTGAATTCTCTTCCTTCAATTTAGATACGGTTAAAACCTTAACATTCTCAGGAAAAAAAGCATAAGTTGACTCATTCATCTAATCAACCTCCCACTTTTTTTTGGCTAGGTTTCACTGTCAACCTTCTTGAATACGTCCTGTAGCTACTGTGATGGAAATGACTGAGATGTCCTTCAGGAAAACCAGCTAGCACTTCCCTGGGGAGGTCAAAACTTAATCATGTGAATTTCCCTAGAGCTACGCAGAGGCAGGAACACAATAAATAGATTAACATGAAAACAACAATGTTAACTTACTAATAGAAAGAAGTATATTTGTCCTAAGGTCCTGACAGTTGAATTGTCTAACCAGCATTCTTTCCATACAGAAAATCCATAAATAGGAACCAAATTATAACCAGCACTTGCTGGAACAGCCCAGGCAGAAGGGCCAGACATTCAGCCTCTAGGCAGCACACCACCTTCTCTGAAGAATCCTGCGGAACACCTGCAGATGCCTCCTCTCCAGTTCTCATCTTCCCACGTTTCTCCGGGCCCATCACCCTCCGCAGTGACAATCTTTCTTTAGATATGCTAATATCACCTATTCGACAACTCAGGTCCCACTCTTCCTGCTTTAAAGCTGAAAGAAACAGCATCTTTTAAGATGCCTTCTGCAGAAAGTTGAGCTCCTCTTTTATGTGATTTTTATTAAACCATATCTGAGTTCTGCTGGTGGCACCCACATCGTACCACATACACCCACTCAAACCCACCTGTCACCGGATTATCACCTTCTTTTTCTTAACCCTCCACTTGGATGCTATTCTCCACCACATCCAGTGACCTCTTTACACTTTTCCCTTGTCTGTATTTCACTAGTGCAACTGACACTTTTCCTTCTTCTGTATTTCACTAGTGCAACCTGTCCACTTCTGAAGCACTTTCCCCATCGTTGCCTTTAATGGAACTGAGCTGCGTTGGTTCTGCTGGTTAGATTTAAATTGCTCTTTAGTACTAGGAGTGGGTCCCAATCCACCTCCTAGAATCAGGCACACCTAGATCCAACCCAGGCTCTACTCCTTACTAGCTAAGTGCCCATGGTAAAGTTACTGAACTTTTCCCTCAACTCTAAAACAGACATAACAACGTAACTGGCCAGTAAGTGCTTGGCATAATAAGCTTACCGTGGCACCAAGTAATCACTGAATAAACATTAACACTCTTCTCTGTGTCCTATTTCTTAGCTTCTCTACTCTATATTTACACCCCACACTTCTCTCTGGTAGTACTGGGGACTGAACTCAGGCCCTTCACACTGAATTACATCCTTAGCCCTTAAAAGAAAAATAAAACTTCCTTTTGGGATAGGACCTCACTAAGTCACTAAGTTGCCCAGGCTGAGCCTGAACTTGACCTCTCCCTTGGCTTCTGTAATACTATACCTTCCACATTTTTCTTCTCTACCATCTCTCCTTAGGGTCCTGTGGCAGCTTATCGTCCTATATCCAGACTCACTGCTGTTATAAAAAGGAAACCTAAAAGTTTACTTCACTTCTTATGTTTTATCATCTCTCCTTTGGTGATCTCACATGTCATCATGACTACAACTGCAACCCATAAACAAGAAAATGACTTCCACGTTATCTCTAGTTCAGACCTCTCCTCTGAGTTCTAGACTCTAACTGCCTACTGACATCACCATATGACAAGGACGGTTAAAATCCAAGCATGGAATTGCAACCTTCTTCCCAATCCTATTTTTTCTCCACACACCTAAAGAATGCAAAAGGCAGACTTTTAGACGTTACCCTTACTAACCCTGCTCTAACTCCCTGTGTAAGTCTAACCAAGCCTATAGATTTTACCTCAAATATCTCTCAAACCCACCCACTTACCTCCATCTCTACATTTCTTCCTTCCAAATAATGTCTACTCTATATTTAAAAATCTACTTTACAATATCTGCATTTGATTAATTCTTTCTCATCCCTCTTTTCTAGCCAAGCCATGTCTTTTTCCTTAAAAACTCCTCTTGCACTCCTCACTCATTAATTCAACCCAGTATCACTGCTTACTGGGAAAAGATTAATAGATTACCATGGTTCATTCAGCCCAATAAACTATCACTGACAGATACCCAAAACACTAATTATGTAATAATGCATGAAGCACTGCATCTATGAATATGTTTTACATGTATTTTATTAACACGTACAGATTTTCACTTTTTTCTATTTTATAAGTTTCACAACTTTAACATCTTCCATACAATGCTGAACTTCCTTTCTGTTTTGCTTTGTTTTGTTTTGGATACATGGTCGTATGTAATTCAGGCTGGCCTCAAACTTGTTGCTATCCTCCTGCCTCAGCCTCCTGAGTGCTGGGATTACAGGCGTGCGCCACCACATCCAGCTGAACTTCCTCTCTTTGTTATGCATCTCCCTTTTTGAGTATGAAAGGAATTCTCTCATTTTAAGCATGTTCAAAACTTCAGTGAACAAACATATCACTTGTGATTGTAAAGGAATTACAAAAATTAATACAACCTGGATCATACTCAGACTTTATTTACAGGCAGAATACAGCTGCATCCACATTTTATCTTGTTTCCATAACAATGTCTCATAAAAAGAAGTTGCTCATGACAAGTGCAACAGAAGTAAACAAATATGCTCAGGACTGACATGCTGCCCAAATGCCAAAAAAAGAGAAAACAGAACTTCTCAAACACTTCAACTCTGTTTCTTGTCTAGAAACTTGGGCCAAAAAAGAAAAAAATGATACAAAGAATTGTGCCCAATCAGATGAGAAGAATAGCAGAGGACTTGGCTCCTGGTGAATGGGATCATGGACCTGCTCCAGCACAGAAAGAAGGGAGAACTGGAGCCTGGCTGAACATAGAAAAAGAACAAATGAATATGGGTGTGATTTTTTTTTGATAACAGGAACTGAACTCAGGACCTTGCGCTTGCCAGGCAAGCACTGTGCCACTCACTGAGCTATATCCCTGGCCCTGGTGTGATTTTTTTAAAAAACCAGAAAGAATTGCCTACAACAGTCCAGTATACTTGACATCTATCCTTTTCTAAATTCAGATTATTCATTTAAAATAAGCTTCCAACCACTTAGAAAATGGTACACATTTGTGGGTCCAACCAGAGTTTTACCAAATTAACATCTTTTCAAAATAAAGTGTGTATATACAGAGAGCACAGGTCAGAAAGAAACAATAAAAATCCTGTGTTGGTAGAATTTCAAAAAGGTATTTGACCAAGTTCTTATTATACCCATCGAGGACATGGAAATATAAGATGGGTGAGAGTACACTTAAGAGGGTACTACTGTATACACAACCTTAACTAGCAAGTACCCATTAATGAATTGTCATCAACATGAAGGGCGGGTCTACCAGTAAGTCTCTGGCCTTCTGCTAAACTATTTTATCAATAACTTGAAAGAAAAAAAAAAAAAACTTGAAAGATGTGGAAGGCTACTGAACTACTGCTGGTATCCAATCTGCGCATGACGTGAATTTAGGAAGAACAACCAATATATAGTGTAAAAAAGCCAGGATTTTAAAACCACAAGAAGTCAGAAAAGTGGGCTAATTCTCCTAAAATAAAATGTAACAGAGAAAAATAACTAAGGAATCGGTACCTGTGTCCAAAAAAGTATCTACAACTTTAAGATGGGCGTGCTGTGGTTTAATTGCTAGATGTTTTTCAAACAGCAAGTTTAATGGCTTTTTGCTGACAGGAAGTTTAGGTCAGTGAGACAGCAGTGAATTTAGTATGATGAGATGTGAGAATCCGAAGAGCTAATGTGACCCTAGCAGAAGCAGGGCAATATCTCAAAGAAAGGGGTGGGAATCATGTTCCACTCTAGACAAATCAGACCACAACTGGGACACCACGGATCTTTCCAGGGGTCACGGGCTTCACAAGGTCATAAGCACATTGGCAAACGTTGAGAACAGAACAACCAGCATGCTTTGGAGTCCAGACACTATTAACACGAAGGAAGGGCAAAGGGGGTGGAGATTTATAAATAGATTTGTACAACAATAGCTCAGAAGAAAATAATGGCTACTTTCATTCAGTCATTCAATGAACCTGAAGTTGAAGCCTATTTCAGGGAAGCCTACTTAATTATGAGAATGGCCAGGAATACAGGGACAAGATATTTGCAAGAAATTTCTGTGTATATGCAAATACTTAAATGTGAAGAGTTGAAGTAGCCATGATCTAAAAAAAAAAAAAAATTGTTTTAGGGGCTGGGGATTTAGCTCGGCGGCACAGCGCCTGCCTGGCAAGCACAAGGTCGTGAGTTCGATTCCTGGTACCAGAAAAAAAAAATTAAAACAAAAAATCGTTTTATAGCATCTCATCAGGTACAAACAGGACCCGTGGAAAGAAGTTGGAAAGTAACCGATTTCAGCTCCTTATAAGGAAGAACATTTTAACAGTTGAGGCTAATGAAGGAAAAGCTGTCACTGAAAAGGCTGCAAGGCTCCTGTCAGTAATGGTGTAGGAAGAAGGGCCTGAGCTGGACCGTATTTAACCTCTCCTCACACTCCACATAGGAAATGGACTCTCACCGGACTCCTCTTACTTGGATATTTCCGCAACCCCCGCTTCCTGCAGTTGGGTATTTCCAACCTGCCCCCAACGAAGGTCGCTTTCTAACTGGGAAGAGGTCAGAGGACAGCACAAACGAGACCCAGGAAAAAACTAACCCATCAGTAGATGCTGCACAAAAACATGAGTACTGTTCCCTGTGTCTCAAATTCGAAAAGAAAATGCAAGGAACCTTTAATTCACGAACACAACTGAAAATATTCAACAGCATTCAATTAATGCAGGTAAGGATTTCTTATACACTGCATTTTTGGTTGTGAGCCATTTTCTCCTAACAAAGACAAAATAATTTTAACTTAGGATCACTTGGAAAAATTGTGTCCTTAATTAAGCATTCCAAAACCTTCTATCCTAACATTATAGGTAAACGGACTTCAGAATACATTTCTAAAAAGAAATGATTCACCAGCTACAGAGGACCAGATACCATGAACTAATGAAATTGTGGCATTCTGATTAAATGGCTACTTAAATCTAATCTGTTTAAAAATCACAAGCAGGCTAGACCGAAAGGTTCCAGACCATTTAGTTCTGACTTTTATATACCAAATTAAAATCATTTAAGTTTACCTTCCCTGCCTTATTCTGTAATTCTTAAATAGACTCCTACACTGCCTCTAAATAAAGGCTGCAACTGGGTATTTGAGTTTACCCTCCAAAACTGTCCCTTTGAACTTCGTGGAACAACCCCCCCACACACACATACACACTCACACACACACACTCTTCAGCTGTTTCTTGGTTTTTAATGCAATAAATGGACCGCAACTCGACCTCCGAGGGCTGTTTCTCTTCAACAGCGGTCAGGAAGACGAAAGTGAGGAGGAAAGACAGGCTCCCGGCCCCCGGCCCTGAAACTGAAAGGAGCCCCCAAGCGCCGGCGGTCCCGGCGCGGCCGCCTCCGCCGCCTCGCCACACGCCCCGCGCAGACGCGGGCTTCCCGGGACGGCTGCCCTCCAGCCCTGGCGGCCCGAGCCTCGGCGCCGCAGCCCGGGACGGCGGGAGTCGCCGCCGCACTTACAGTGACACCATCCCAGGTGACAGCACCAGTGCAGCTTGAAGCACTTGCCGTGGCTGTGCGTGGCACAGATGGACAGCCCGTCGCACGGCTGGAAGTCGGGTCTGCGGGCGGCGCAGCTCCGCGCTAGGGCCTGCGCCTCGTCCACTTTCTCGCTCTTCCAACCCCGCTCGGGCACCGGCGCCGCGGCCGCACTCATGTCCGCTCCCTGCGCGCGGGGCCGGGGTCGGGGCCGGGGCCG